TGATGTAAATTAAAGTTTGTCTTTATCTGACTTTAGTTTAAAAGTTATGAACTTACTTTTCCACCAAAACTATTTTCAAAGACAAGCCATCTTACCAACTACCCCCAAAAATCAAGCTCTATGGGGCGGTTGGTGTTACCTACAGTCCATAACATCCATCGCCTCTAGAAAACGTTTTTATAGGGCGGTCCATTAGTTGAATCCTTCAAATGACTTTTCTAGGGCAGCCGAGAAGACAACTGTCTACGAGGTGTTCCTTAAATTATTTTTGTAGTAGTGGATTAAGCTAAGTCTATGAAAAGAAACAGAGGTGCCATGCCCTTGTTCTCCCATGTAAACCTGTCGTCCGCAAATGTGACATGTTCCATCACACACAATGCACTTTCTTCCTCATTTTTCCCATGAACACATTGCTACACGACTGCAACCTAGAGTAAGGGGTTCGGTATATGGTCAATACATTGCTAGTCATTATTAGGGATGAAAACGATCGGAAACGATCAAGAGGAGGCCAAATCACTTTCATTTTCACATTTTTTTCTCGAAAACAAAAGCGATACGATATTGTCGGAAATGAATACGACATCGATATTCTAGTAATTTCGAAAACGATAGTAGTCGATCGGAAAATACATCGATAATGATCAGAATCCATAAGAGCGATATCCTAAAAATGATAAACACGTCAAACCGTAGAACATGAGAAGAGCCATAAAACGCAACCTATCTCGCATGACACTAGTAATAAATAAAGGCACAATTAACAAGACCACAAGCTAAAACCACATTTCACACCACCTTAGGTCTCAAACAAGCTAAACCCCATATTCCGTTCATGTTCGTGGTGACTGCCTAGAGTTAGGGTGGTGCAGTACGTGATTGGCTGATTGCCTTGTTGTTCCTATACGGATGAAATACTTGTTGTATAGTTCGTTTTCACAAAAATATTTGACTTATGTGTTTGCGTGTGCAGATGGGATGCTTAGATGTGGGTCAACTGGACCTAAAGTATATGCATTACATAGTCTATAAAAAAATAGGATTCAAAGCCTTTGAATCAGTAATTACTGATGGTAAATTATTGATTAAATACGGCAATCTTCGAAAACGGTCGAAAGGGGGTAAAATCATTTTCGCTTTCGTTTCCGATTATTTTTATCGTTATCGTTTTCATTTTTTCGATTACCGCTACCATTTTCATTTAGGCCTGAAAATCAGAAAAAAAAAACTTGAAAATGATTTTTGAAAATCAGAAATTATCATTTTCGTTTTCATCCCTAGTCATTATGTCGGTATTTTCTCACTAGCAATAATGAGTATTGGATTGTGTATTCCCATTACAATGGTTGGGCTATAGTCTGGAGATTTATACAAGTTTAGACCTCTCATCTTAAGGTAATACCCTAGTCCTTTGGTGGATTATATTGATATGTGGATGTATACATAGGATGTCCATGTGCATCCAAGGATATGATATTGCTTGGTGAGGCGTTTTGTGCGACATCAAGGGATGTTGCCTGCTGAGGCTCTAGGGTGTTTTGTTGTTTGTTGGGATGAGATGTCTATTGGATGTCCCAGTATAGGACTTGTAAGGTAATATACTCCATGGATATTTTAATTTATATTAATGGTCCATCATAATAATATTTTAAATTATCACTTTATATACATTTACATTTTAACTAAAGCATTGTGATATTAATACGTGTAATTGAAAATTTAACACATGATTGTTTTATGCTTGAGTGTCGTGTAGACTGAAATGACTATTTATTCTATTGTTGTAAAGTATGAGCTTAGTCTAGGACTTGCAACCTTTTTTAAAATAAAATTCAAATGAATTAGTAAATTATAAAATATAAATTTTGAATAAAAGGTACAACAACCATTAGAGTTTCGACTTAACACATGGATAAAAACATAATAAGATCAAAATTAGATCCATGATGTTACAGAAAAGGGATGCAACAAGAACTAATATATATAACTTAAACTTATGTTTCAACTAAGTATGTCAACGTGTATCTTAACCTTACTAACTGGATGCCGTCAATAAAACTTACAAAATAATCTTCATGAGATGCTTTAGAAAAAAAATCTAAAAATCATCACAATAATCATAAAGATCTTGCCAATCGAGTAATTGATAAATTATCACAACCAAATAGAGATTATAGAGTATCTAATTAGACATTGTGTTAGAAAACGAATAGACACAGTAAAGATAATTCATTAAATAAACATACTAAATTAATCACAAAACTTTTACGATTTATGTATCTTAATTTTTTTTGCCGTCCTGGAGCATGAGCTACCTTTATTAAAAAAAGAGAGAGAGAGAACTGCATAAAATCAATTTTCTTGAAACAGGCATACGACCAACGTGAGAACATTTTTACATTTTCTTTCCAGAAAGGACAAAAAAAAAGTAAGATGAACACCTTACGGAGTTACAGTTACAAAATTTGGGAAATGGAAACAGAAGAATTATTTACACAAGCCTCGCATTCGGTTAAGAAAAAAAATTGAACAAATCGAATTGAATCGATGTATTCAGATTCAGTAGCTTTTGTTAACCCTCCGGCAGTTGCTCCTGATCTCCCCATCCTTTCCTGTCAGCGGGCTAATGTTTCCCATCTTAATCATGGATGCCGCAAAGTTTCTGAAAAAATCCTGTTGGTTGCCTGCGAACCGATGAACAATGGGAGCAGTGGTCGCCGCAGCAGAAGGGTCCGATAGCATAACCTGGTCGGACGGTAGCTGAGCGCGCCCTCTAAGAGGTTGTTGTAATACTTGTTGTCGAAGACCTTGGGTGTGACCTGGTCGAGGTTCTCCAGTGCGCCGCTGGACTGGCCGGCCGTGCAATTCTGCTGCGTGAACTGGCACTGTACTTTGCCGAATGTGTGAGCTCCTGAAGTGGAAATAGCAAATATGTTGAGATTTTGTGATAAGCTAAGGCACACACTGTCTTGAACTTTAATTTCTAAGCTTGAACTGTTTGTGTTGCTACGTTGGTAAGTAGATGTAGATTGATTACCTTGGAGGGCGACGAGGTCAGTGTCGTCGAGGTTGACGTTTCTAAACTTCTCCTGGAGGACGTTCAGGGGGTCGAAGAAGTTGGGCAGGTTCCTGGCGCTCTGGACGTTGGTCGTCGTGCCGTCTCGCCGGCCAAGAAGCACCCTCCACCGTGGTCCTCCAGCCTGCACCGATCCATGCACGGTTCGTTCCGTCAGTTCTACATCAGGCGTGAGCGTGATAGATAGAGGTAGCGCTAGCACGCCATCGCGGGTTGATGAAAGGGCGAGCTCTCGAGTGCTTACGAGTTCAACGGAGATCTCAGCTGCCAGGGCGAGGATGTCAGCGCAGGAGACGATGCCGGGGCAGGCTTCCTCCAGCGCGCTCTTGATGTCGTCGACCACCGGAAAGCCCCGCGCCGAGTTGTTGTTGGCGGGCACACGCTTCTCGGTCTGGATCGCCGGGAGGTCGTCGTCCAGCAGGAGCGAGCCGTCGCAACCCTGAAACAAATCAGCGTACGTACGTACGTGTGTGTCAGATGATGCAATGCGGGTACGTGTATGTCAGAACAACTCAGATGATACAAATCAGCGCAGCTGTTAGTTCACGTACGGTGACGAAGCAGTCGTGGAAATGGAGGCGGATGAGGCTGGCCGGGATGCGAGGGTCAGAGACCCGGGCGTTCTGGATGACGCGCCGGACGACGTCGTAGGCGCTGGGGCACGACGCGTCGTAGAACGTGGAGCTCAGCGCCGAGCCGCCGCTGGGACGGTGACCGAGCGCGGCTCCAGCTGAGGCGAGCAAGAGGAGCACGCAGAGCGCCGCTAACGCCGAGGCGGGAGATGAGAAGCAGGAGGAAGCGGCCATGGGCTCGCTCCTGAGTTGCAGAATTGCAGTAGGTGTACGTAACTTGCTAGCTATCTGACCTCTGAAGAGAGCTAGCTAGGGACCAACCACTGACAGTGTAGGCTGCTAGGTGCGTGCGACTGGTCGTGCTTGCTGCAGACGAAGCTTGCAGAGCTGAGAGAGAGGTGGATGCGATGCGAGGGGAAAGGGTGCGCGTGGCAGGTTTTATAGTATCGAGCGGTAGGCGCGGAGACTATTCGCTGGGACGGAACTGGTAGTGGTAGCGCGTTTGACATGTTCCTCGTGCGGGAGCCTGTCGATTTGGAGTTAGTTTTCGTACAGGGGAGCAGGCCGGGAGGGGACAAGTGGACGACGGCTGCCGCACCTTCTTCGTCTTCGCACACGGTTGCTGCGGATACACTCTTCGCTAGCTGGAGCCTGGAGACTGGAGAGCGGCGGTGGACAATGGCAGCTCGAGGAGGAGACGAGGTCGCGGCGAGGTGATTGCTCTGGGATGGGAGCGTGTTCGTTGCGCCAGCGCGCGGTGGGAAAGCGAGAGGTGCTCGATTATCTCCATTTCTCCTGAAAAGCAATCGAATTGAAAGAAACAGCAGCGTATGGGGGCAGTGCGGTGGGGTGGGGTGTCCTGTCCTGCCATCGCACACCGGCGACCAACCATGCATGCCTGCAGCTGCGAGGAAACGGCAGTGGAGTAGCCGGGTCAGCGAGAGAAAGGCTCCGAGCTGAGGAAGCAGCAAGCCAGTGCAGACGTGTAGTTTAAAAAAAAGTAGTGTAGACGTGTAGTTGATGTTGCGATTTGCGAAAGGGTGCCTCAAACCAGCTTGGAGGACATGGTCACATGGAAAGGTCAACCTTGTCCGCTGTTCCGCAGCCAATGCCACTTGCCACGTCGGCGCTTTCGCTCGCAGCGGTAGACTGCAAAAGCGCACATGACCCACCCCAACTGATGGGCCAAACTTATCCAGAGCATTTTCCGGCCCAATTACTAATTCTTTGAAACTACGTACGCATTGGCATTGGACCATTTAATAAGCCTTGAACAAAGCTAGGCCCCTGCATTTTACACGATCCTCTGTACATACTTGCGGACTTACAGAAAGAAGAAGAAAAAATATATATCACGGTGGCACAAACGAGCGGCGATGGTCGTGGGAAGGCCAGAGCACGCCTTCCCTTGGGCAAGGCGCGAGCGGCGCCGGCTGCGCCAGGAACGTCGGGTACCGCTGCCCCGGCATCAGCACCGTCAGGTCCACGGGCTCCACCTGCGAACAAACCCAAGGAAACCAAATCAGGAAACCGACGAGCCTGCTGGCTTTCAGGTTTCGCACGCCACATTGCCCTTGCCCCGTTGTCGGCGCTCGCCACATTGCCTGTGGCACGGCACACACGTGAACCGAGCGCACGACGCGAACAGTGGCAATGCAAGGCGAGCACGACAACAGAACAGTGGCATTGCGGTAATGAGACGTCAGGAATCAGGATGGTACCTTGGGCGAGTGACTGAGCTGCTTGTCCGGCGACGCGTCGCGCTCCCGCAGTCGAGCGGGGGGCAATCCCAGGCGGTGGCCGTGGCCGCGGCCTTCGCCTTCGCCGTCGTCGTCGTCATGGGAGCGCGAGCCCCGGGAGGAGGAGGAGGAAGCCAGGCCGGGCTTGATGAGGTGCTCGAAGATGGCCGCGAGGAGGAACATGGAGACGAGGACGGCCGTGGCCGCGAACCCGAATGAGATGGCGCTGGCGTTGGTGGAGGAGTCGGCGCCCCTCATGGACGAGGCCGCCGCCGCCGCGGCGTCGTCCCTGGCGACGGCGGCGGCGGGCTCGGACGCCGTGCCAGAGCCCGCCGCCATCCCCACCCACGGCCTGGACATCTGCCCCGCGAACATGCTCATATACACCTGCCTAGCTCCTGCTGGCTGCCTGCGACGGCGCGCGATTCTTGGCTACACTACCGATCACAGAGCACCTCCGGGGTCCGGGCTCCGGTCCTGGCTAGGCAGAAGAAATGCAGGCATCAGAGGCAGTTGAGGACTGGAGGCAGTCTTATCTCCTGCCCGTGGTGAGCATGTGACGCTTGTGAAGACTTATCACGTTCTACATGTGAACACTGAAGAGGTAAAAAAAACGAAAGGAAAAGGGAAATGCGGCATGGCTTTGTTGCTCCTGCGTCCCCTTCCTGCTGTTTCTTTGTATAGGCAGGATAGGAATTTTGCTGTGGGACTCCAAACCAGAACGGGAAACGGCGATGCCTCTGCCAGTGCATCACACACATGACACACCACCGTGCACGCAGGCTGTGTTGGAAGGATCGCCCTTCCAAGCGCTGCTCAGCAGCGGAAGTTTCAGAAATGTAGCCAAAACTGGAAAACCCCACAATGAACCCACTATGGATAGCATTTCTATCATTTTTTCGGCTCAGTGTAAAGCTGAAAAGCACGCTGAAAAGGAAAATGGCAGAGAATAGTAGTAGCAGATAAACAGAGGGAGCCCGAAATCTGAAGTACACACTACTCATTCTTCAACCTGGACTCGCGTAAATTGCAGGCACCGGAAAGGGAACTCACCTTTAGCACTAGTACTTGCTGCAGCCAAGAAGCAGCAAACTGCCGGTTTGCCGTTGCCTCCTCATCATCTATCTACCTTGTGACCCTGCAGAGGTTAGGTTGAGCAATGGCTTTGGCTTGGTGGTTGTCCACTCTCCTTAAATGGAGGGGTCAAACGCCAGATAGATCTCTCTCACTTGGGCCATGCACGCGGCCATGGTGAAGGCCATCGTGCAGAGCGGTCATGAGGAGTGAAGACTGCAGCAAGAGGGAAAGGTGGTTGGCCCTCTTCGCTTCTCTTATAATCCGTACTTTTCAGCTTATTTTTTTAACCGAAACAGTGTTTTTCTCTCACAATAAATTAGCCGGAATAATATTTCAACTTGTTTTTTCAGTCAAACGAACGAGGCCAAAAAGAGCGCAGGGATGAGCTGCCACCTTGCACAGAAAACATGTGAGGTCCCAACAGCTGATGGGATGGCAGCGGCTGGGCTGCAAAACAGGATGGTTTACACTGATTATTCGGGTTTGGGCACCGCAATGGATGGACAAACTCTTCAGTTTCATGCACGTAGTTGTGTAGGGGTGAGGAGGGAGGAAATAATATGCAGCCTATTCGTTTGGCTCTGGCTTGTCGTAAACGATCGTAAATTTCCAGCCAGAACAGTATTTTTCTCTCACACAAATCAGCCAGCAATGCTTTTTAACAAACCAGCAACAAAACGAACCAGTTAACCGAACAAGCTGATAATTCCATAGGGTGGAAGGGAAAGGCAAAGAAGAGCCAACCAAAGGAAAAGGGACGAAAGCTACAGCAGCAGCGCATCAAAAGAAGTGAAGTCTGGCCTTGTGCAGGATCCGATCAGATTTTGAGAGTCAGTGTCCGAAATTATATGCAGGTCAGGTCATTCAGGTACCTCCGCTGCATGCTGTAAATTGACCCTCTCGTGTCTCGTCTCCTCCTCCGCTCCCTCCCGCGAGGAATCATGGCCACATCTTGTCATCTTCACATTGGAAATGCTGTGCTGCCAGTCTGCAACGTGATTGCGAACTCAGCTCACACAGGATGGGCGAACTGTGTTGGCTGTGACGGGAAAAAAACAATGGAAAAGCACAACTATGATGGAGAAATGGAGATGCAAGTGATAGCTTCCTGTAACTGCGAGGGAGCGGGTGCCGTTTAGATCAAGACATGGTTCCATAACAGGATCTAAAATTTAGTCATCTAAATTTAGTCTTATACATCTCCTGTAGGGCTGCAAACCCCTCCAGTTTCATCAAAAAAATTAGTTAGACTAAACTAGTCTTATACCATCCAAACAGATGGATTAAAGGTGGGCTAAACTTTTATCTAAAATTTAGTTAGACTAAACTAGTTCAGGTGAGGAATTAGAGTATTAGACCAAGGTCTTGGACGCTCGACAGGGAGGGATGGCGTTCTGTGGCTCCAAGGCAGCCGGGGCCCTACCACGGGACAGTCCCGTGGATCATCCGGAGACCACATGGAAACAAAGGACAACAATTTGGACGTCTCTGTGATCTAGCAGCATTTTTGGCATTGGCACGTCTGTTCTACAATGATGTCTTAAGTATGTGTGGCAGTCTTAGGCTGTCCCTGGGACTTTGCTGCCGCGATAGATGGAGCCATCCCAACGGCCCTCGCTTCTCTTATAATCCGTCTTTTTCAGCTTGTTTTTTTAGTCAAAATAGTTTTTTTTTTCTCTCATAACAGATTAGCCGGAACAGTATTTCGGTTTGTTTTTTCAGCGAAACGAACATAACCAACACGCCACTAGCTGTGTCTGAGGAAGTAATGCATGTGTACCCCGGGTCCCCAACTCCTAACCAACACTGAACTGAAAAAATTTAATATAGAACAGACCTGTTCAGCTTCGTACCGGTACATATATGTGCCATGTTCGCTTGGCTAATAAGTCATGGCTAAAAATATTATTAATTGATTTATTATGAGAGAAAAATACTATTCGTTAGCTAAAAAAGTACGACTTATAAGCAAGCACACAGGCAATGATTTCTTCGAGTACAGACAGGCCACGCCCTTGGTCTTGCTTTGCATGGGTTCCAAAGCTAGAGGGCACAGTAAGATACCTCTGGCGACAATGAACAGTAGGATATCCGGACTTGAAGCAATCAAGCTGCCGGAATCCCAGGCATGTGAAAACCTCACTTAGGATCCTCTTAGGGAACAGCAGACCAGCAGGCAAAAAAGTTGTGTGTCAACCGTCAGTATCTCAAGTCAATTTTCTCTATAACTTCCTTCAAGTCTTTTAAAAAATATATTATAATTTGCAATTTCAAATAAATTCTCTATCAGAACGTGTTACAAGAACAATTCAATGAAACTATCGTGATGTTGTAGATGTTAACGGATCTTTTTTATGAACTTGGTCAAATTCAAGAAACAGAAGTTGTACATGTTAATTACCGTGTCTTATCTAACTGCAAAGTGAGTGTAGGGCATCGTAATTTTTAACAGTTCAGGTGATGGTTTTTTTTTGGATAAAGTAAAATAATCCGGCCTCTGCATAATTCACGTATGAATGTATATAGCCCAAGATACAATCAAATAACACATTGAGGCTACAGAAAACAAATATTTAGAAGAGTGACATGTGAAACAAAGCTAAAGCTAGTTTAAGCTCCAATCCTGCTGGTAAACCTCCAACCAAAAGAAAACCTTCATAATGGTGACTTCCAAATTTCCGCTTCTCTCATCTTCAAAACATTTCTCTCCTCTTTAAAGAGCAATGACCAACTTCTGAGCCAATACGCCCCCTGAAAATAACCTACATGAAATAATTAGTTGTAGTTTTATTGAAAACATTATTTCTACTTAATCAAATAGCCCAACAAAGAGCAGCTTGGGTGATGGTAACTGGTGATGATATTATCTGGCGTCCAGTTTATCTTATCCTATCAATTAGTGGCTAGAAGCTCCGTACTGTCCTGCCTCAACAAAACATGATCTTTGCTAGGCTACCATTTCGAACAGAACAAGGAAGTGCGAACACAAGGTTGATATGTGCACTTGTAGTTCGTTTTGTGATAAGTGATTGTCAACGTGATCCACGACCTAGGTTGAGTTTGGGAGCTAACCATGCCGTGCGTTGGGTTGTGCGACATGTCTCTTGGTTTGTGGTGTGCAGGTGTGGAGCTCAGAGGCGGTGGTCGACGGTGAGGTGAAGGTCAAGTAGGGACGTGCCATGCCGATGGACCGGGAGTGGTGAAGGACGGACGTGAGGCTTGGATTGAGGGACCAGGAGGCCGGGTGACCAGCCGCGGTGGCTGACATCTGGGACATCGACAAGCGCAAGTGTACATGGGAGTGACCGTGTTGACCGAGTCAAGACAGCGGGCGTGCGAGTTGAGCAGGGCTCAGGAGGACTTGGCGGACGGCCGGTCGAGGACGGCGGTGACACATGTCGAGTGGCAGGGGATGCGTATGCAGTACGCTACTCGTGGGCGGTTTTGTGGTTTGGGCCTCAAAACCATCGGTGGCCAGTTTCACGGGTTTGGGCCTCAAAACTCGGGCGGAGGTTCCGAGGAGGAACGGACGGCACGTGGCGGCATCGAGGAGTTCGCGTCGAGGCGAAGCTATCTCATGAAGGACGTGGTGGCCGTTGGATGAAGATTGCCTCAGGTTGAACCATAGTGCTCTCGGGTTAAGTCGTTTGACTCAAAAATATCTAAGGACGAAACTGGGATTGTGTAATAGTCGTGTTAAATAGGATGATGGAGCTCCCATCTCCCTCACCTCTTTTATTTTGCTTCATCCTTCTCTAGGTTTTTCCCTCCCCTTAGGTTTTCTTGTGAGAGAGGTCCACAAATTGGATAATTTGTGTAAGAACCAAAGATTGCAGCGGGAATGGAGGCCCTAACCTCCTCGTGTCCTCTGGGATTCGATTTGTGAGTTGTTCTTGTGAATCGCGTTTGTGTTCTTCGCGTTCTTCCTTTCCTCCTTCTCTTGTGTGGTTCGATTCGTCATTTTGAGACCGTTTTGATTCATTCCTTTTGCACTGAGATGAACTAGGACGTGAGTTGAGCCTTTCCACCGAGGGATTTTATCTAATTCCTCACAAGTTTATAGATCGGGGCGAATCAAGCTCTAGGGTTGGAAAACCGGTGTTTTTCGTGTTCATCCAATTTCTCGTTGATTGGCTTCAAATTAGACGATGATCTCCTAGAGGTAGGTCATATATTGCCTTGTGACCATGTGGTTAAAATTTGGTGGCAATTGGTTTTGATTTGGTCACAAATCGGAATTTTCCTTGCTTCGGGTGTTTTTCGGGCAACTCTATTCGTGCTGATTTCACGACTCACGAACAGTC